TGGGGAAACGAGTCTACAACTCTCAAAACGACCGACCGGGTTGTTACATAAAACCTGTCAAAAAGAAGTACCAAAAACTATCTATAATCCAACTATTTTCCAATGACTAAACGGTAGAAAATTCATTGGAAGAGAAGTAAAGAAGTGGTCGCCACAACCCAAATTCCCAGTTGCCCACATCAAATTCTAAGTGAAAAGATTAACCGAAAGAAATAGCAAGAGAAAGAATAATATGGCATTTGTGTGTATAGAACTTAAACATAGGTAAAAATGTTGCTGAAAACCCTCCATAAAAAGTCTTCAATATTATAATTGGAGATAGCTTTATAAATATTTTCAGTATTGGGTTACCAAAAGATATCGACAAGTAACCCTCCATAAAAAGTGTGATTTATAATCTTTAAAATAAAAATCTAAGTTATAAGCACAAACAAAGATTTTTTTCCACTATTAGTGTATTTTGACTTATTATAGAAGACTAATTTCCATTTAATATCTGTATAGAGACTACTCTCAATTTCCTTTTAAGTGATTTGATGGTGTAAATCATTTTTAAACCGATAATGCATAAAACTTGGGGTCGTTTGGTTTGAGTACGACTTATGCTGGGATAAATTATGCTGGGATTAGTTATGCTGGAATTAGTTATCCTAGTATTATTGTTTATCCACTGTTTGGTATGTTGTATTAAAAATGACAATTGCATAATTTCTAAGAAGAAGGTATAAGTTATCCCGGCACTAGTTACCCCACCCTCTACAAGATATAAGTTATCCCGGTACTAATTTTAATCACGGGATAACTTATACTAAGTTTACTAACTAAACAAAGTATTAATGTGGTATTAAAATTTTATACCAGCAATATACCTTCTTATACCTCATACCAAACGAATCCTCGTACTCTATAAATTAGGTGAATTAAATGTTACAAACATGTAAAAATGATTTCATATGGTAGACTATTAGTTAAAATTCAACTTAAAGTAGATAACCATGTGGTTCCTTGACCACATAGCACTACGTAGTAAACTCCACATGGTATTAATGACAAGAATCAAGAAGGTTATGGCTTTTTTAATTAGGTGAACATTTGAGTATTGAACCATTATAAAATCAACTAAAGTTAATTAAAGCAATATCCATGCATCATAAGCTTCCATTTCCTTCCTTACTGTTCAATGGAGATTTTTCACTCATCCTCTCTTTCCAATTACTTAGTTTCATTGCTTCTCTTTTTTTCCTCCCTCATTATTCTAGTTACACAATGGAGTAGAAACAGATCTAGAAAACATAAAGTTGCCTCCAGTTCCATGGAAACTTCCTTATTAGAGTAGGGTCGTATTAGTTGTGGTAGTTATGTTAGTTCGTTAGGGGTATTTTAGTCCTTTTACATACTCTACACACGTGACTCATTTTAGCTGAGATGCATATAACTAACTCACTCTGTATTAACAAAGCAGTTAAACACATAATAAAAGCTTCTACTTCCTCTCTCGTTTTCTTCTCTCTACTCTAACTTCCTTCTCGATCACATGCAATTGTCTTCCTCACTAGATCTATACACAGATTATATCATGGTATCAGAGCAGACAATTTGAGATTGGATCAAAGATTTCAAAATTCCAATTGATGGCCATTTTCGAAGCTTAAGTTGGTCAGTCATGGAGGAAACTGGAAATCTACAAATCGATCACAATCACCCACTATTGTTACAACAAACTGATACTCATGGAATAGCATTGATAGATATCAAGTTTACAGGACCAGAAAACTACGCCTTATGGAGCAGATCGATGGGAATGGCTTTGTTAATGAAAAATAAGCTACGGTTCATAGATGGAACCTATTTAAAAAGCTCTTATATAGGAGAATTGGGACATCAATGGGAATAATATAATGTTGTGGTGCTTTCGTGGATAGGTCGCATTGTGTCTACTGAATTGCAGACAAGCATCATCTACGCATCAGATGCGAAGAAGGTATGGAATGAATATATGGAATGTTTTAACAAATCAAACCTTACTAGATTTTATCACTTATGGACGACAATAGGAACACTGAGGCAAGGTACCGACTCTATAACATTCTATTAAACTAAGATGAAAGAATTTGTGGAATGCGATGGATTTAATGGTGCCAGGAGCAGGATGTGATTATGAGGAAACCAGGCCTTTTCTAGACCAGTTTAAAAACATGCGCTTGTTGCAATTCCTTGTTAGTTTAAATGAAAGCTACAGTCATGTGAGAAGTGAGATCCTACTTAAAACACATGTATTAACTGTGAATCAAACATATGTATTAGCAGCTCAGGAAGAGAGATAACGAACACTTAGTGTAGTCAATTCAGACAAAGAGCCTGTTCTGGAAGAGGACAAGGTTTCAAGGTAGTAAGAAAACCAGGTCTCATATGTGATTACTGTGGTTACAAAGGTCACTTAAAGGAGAATTGTTACAAGATTATAGGATATCCACCAGATTTTAAAAGCAAGAAAAAATCTCATAATTCTTGTGTGTAAGCTATAGAAGGAGGGAGTTTTAATACTACTACTCAAACACAGGGTAAATACTTCACAGAGGATCAATACAAACAACTGTTGGGACTTTTGAACAAACTAGATCCTGATCCAAGTGACTGTCATACTCTGATGGCAGGTATAAGTTCATTGTTATCCAAGGAATTTAACTATTATTGGATAATAGATACAGGTGCCTCACATCATGTTACACCCTATAAAAAAGTATTAGATAATATACAAAAGATAGAAAATTAAAATAACAATGGTGTGCAAGTGCCTATAAGAGGTAAATGTCATGTAGCACATACAGGAAAGTGAAGATATTAGAGGATTTGACACTAAGGGATGTACTGCATGTTCCTGACTTTAAATTCAATTTAATGTCAGTCTCTACACTGATTAAGGAGTTGTCTTGTTGTGTTGCATTCTTTCATGATTTTTGTGTATTTCAGGGTCTTTACAATGGGAAGGTATTGGGATTGGTAAAAAATATAATGGTTTATATTTGCTGAAGTATGAGCTCAATAAGGAATTCCCAGCTATAGCAGGAAGTGTTGTGCAAATGCAGGAAGATTCAGCACTATGGTACATGAGATTAGGTCATCCCTCAACTGTTGCAATATAACATATTCCTCTATAAAAGAATAAGATGGATACCAAGTTACAATATAGCTGTGAAATATGTTCTTTGGCAAAGCAAAATAGACTACCTTTCCAGCTTAGTACTAGTAAAACAGATCAGATTTTTCAACTTGTCCATGTAGATGTTTGGGGTCCTCACAGGATACAAACATATGGGAAAAACACTACTTTGTAATTCTGGTGGATGATTTTACCATATATACTTGATTATGTTTGTTACAGTCCAAATGTGAAGTAGTTGTTGTATTGAAGGATTTCTTTACCATGGTGTATAATTAATTTGGTTTGAATGTGAAAAAATTGAGATTAGATAATAGAACTGAGTTCTTCAATTCAAAATGTAATGAGTTGTTGACTTCATTAGTAATTGTACATCAAAGTAGTTGTCCATACACACCCCCAACAAAATGGGGTGGTGGAAGGAAAACACAGGCATACACTGGAGGTGGCTAGAGCCTTGAAGTTTCAAAACTCCTTGCCAAACAGATTTTGGTGAGACTGTGTAAAAATAATAGTTTACTAGATAAACAAGTGGCCAACTTATGTTCTATCAGGGAAATCACTCTATGAGGTACTTTATAAGAAACCAGCTAAAATTGAGCATCTGAAGGTGTTTGGTTGCTTGGGTTTTGCAAGCACTCTACCAAAAGGAGACAAGTTTACTCCAAGAGCTAGAAGAACTATACTGACAGGATATTCAGAGACTCCAAAGGACTACAAGTTATATGATTTGGGGAGCAGGACATTCCTAGTGAGCAGGGATGTCATATTCAGAGAGCAGGTATTCCCTTTCAAAGGAGTGATCTCAGACTTCGATGACATATTTCCACAAGACCCTCACGAGCTGATGCCTATTGAGATACCTTATAATTCTCACACCTCTCAACCCAATTCTCATAATATCTGTGCACCAGTTGAAAGTGCATCTCCAATTACCACACAAGCAGAACCATATAATCAGCCACTTGAAGAATTACCTGCAGACAGTGTTGATCATTTATCATCACAGAACCATAAAGACGTAGATAAAAACAACATCAATCCAGATTCTTTAGCTTCAGATGCAGTTGAAGAAATGACAGACATTTCACCTGAAGGAGATGTTGTGATTGATACCAGGAAATTAACAAGACATTCTAGACCACCTATATGGATAAAAGATTATGTGACAAAAGGGAAGTTCACAGGCAATATTCTATATCCAATCTCACAAGGACTGTCATATGCAAATCTCACTATAGGATATCAGTCTTATTTGAAATCCTTCTTAGCATACATTGAACCTAGTTCATTTAAGGAAGCTGCTCAAGATAGAAGATGGGTTGAGGCAATGCAGCAAGAGATAAATGCATTGGAAGAAAACAACACATGGAAGTTGGTTGATCTACCACCAGGGAAACATGCTATTGGATCAAAATGGGTCTATAAGATAAATCATAAAGCAAATGGAGAAGTAGAAAGGTTTAAGGACAGATTAGTGGCTAAAGGTAATAACCAAAAGGAGGGCTTAGACTACCATGAAACTTTCTCTCTAGTGGTAAAAATGGTAACTGTTAGTACCAGTATCAGTATTGTTACAGCAAAAGGATGGAATCTGCATCAAATGGATATCAACAATGCCTTCTTACAAGGTGACTTATATGAAGAAGTCTACATGGCCTTACCATAAGGTTTTCGTAAACGGTGGGAGAGGAAGGTTTGCAGGCTACTAAAGGCCCTTTATGGATTGAAACAAGCATCAAGACAATGGAACATAAAACTCACTGATACCTTGATCACACATGGCTACACACAAAGTACATTTGATCACTCTCTCTTCACCAAAAGACAATGCTCAGATATGGTCATCATACTAGTTTATGTAGATGATCTATTGATCATTGGAAGCAATCCTCAGCTAGTCAACGATACTAAGAAGACATTACAAAGTCAGATCAAAGTGAAGAATTTGGGAGAATTAAGATACTTTCTTGGTATTAAGGTCCTCAGATCACAAAAGGGGATCCTGCTAAATCAAAGAAATTATGCACTTGAGTTGATTTCAGAAGTAGGTCTGAGTGGTTCTAAGCCTGTTTTAACACCTCTAGAGTTAAATCAAAAGCTTACCATAGTAGAATATGATGCTCATGTTGGGAGACTAGGATATCTAGAATTAGCAGACATTACTGCATATCAGAAGTTGATTGGGAAACTCCTATATTTAACAATCACACGACCTGATATTAGCTTTGCAGTGCAAACATTAAATTAGTTCATGCAAAGTCCAAAGCAATCTCATATGGATGCAGCCTTAGGGGTGGTTAAGTACATCAAAGGAGTACCAGGTCTAGGAGTTCTTTTGCAGGCAAAACCAATTGACAACTTGACTGCATATTGTGATGCAGATTGGACATCTTGTCTTAATACTAGGAGTTTTGTGACAGGATATATTGTCAAATTGGGAAGTTCTCTGATTTCATGGAAATCTAAGAACAACAAACAGTCAGTAGGAGCTCAATAAAAGCATAATATAGGAGTATGTCAGTTGTGGCAGCAGAAGTAACTTGGCTATCAGGCCTTCTTGAAGAACTAGGGATACCAATCTCTAAATCTATTCAGTTGTTCTGTGACAAAAAGGCAACTATTCAAATAGTTGAGAATCACATATTTCATGAACCCACCAAACACAGAAAGAGATTGTCACTTTGTGCGACAGAAAAACAAGTATGGGATCATGGCACCACACCTTGCTCTGCTCTTCAACTTATAGACCTACTCATAAAGGGTCTGTCTATTACTCAACATAACTCACTAGGTTCCAAGCTTGGAGTGTTAGATGTCTTCCACCCTTCATCTTGAGGGGGAGTATTATAGTAGGGTCATATTAGTTGTGGTAGTTATGTTAGTTAGTTAGGGGTATTTTAATCATTTTGCCTACTCTACACACGTGACTCGTGTGAGATGAGCTGTATATAACTAACTCACTTTGTATTAACAAAGCAGTTAAACACATAATAAAAGCTTATTCTTCCTCTCTTGTTTTGTTCTCTCTACTCTAACTTCCTTCTCGATCGCATGCAATTGTCTTCCTCGCTAGATCTGTACACATATTCTATCATTCCCATTGTTGGAAGTCTGCATTACTTGATGGGAAGAGAAGTTCCATACCATACTCTTACAAGTTTAGTACAAAAGTATGAGTCTCTCATGTACTTGTAACTTGGGCAAGTTCCTACCATCATCGTATCATCACCTAATAATTTCGAAATTAATTTATTCCATATTATTGTATTATCCTATCCTACATTGAGGGTGGAATAATAATCTCTGAATTATTTAATCCCAGGATAAAATAATACAATAACAAAGATGCCATTTTTCAAGGCTCTTCCCCCACAGTCCTTTATAAAAGTCAAGGTTAAATTTAAAATAAAAGTTATCTCAACCTATCTAGTAAACACCAAACACATATTTTATATTATACTCCGTATATCTCATTTTTAGTCCAATGCACCAAATATCTCTTAATAAAAATTAGATCCACTAAATAATCCCATTACTATTTAATCCTCGGGATTTTAGACCTCGAGTAGGTTCTTGTTATGTTTTGGGACTTATTGGTATGATTTGATAGGGTCCTGAGGGGCTTGGGAATATTTTGGATCATTGGTTGAGAGACTAGATAAGTTAAGAAATTTGGAGTTTGACCATGATCAATATCGGATTAAGACGATCTCTTTATAGTGTTTTGAGTGTGGGAGCAGGTTTGTAGCATGTTTTATGATTAAAATTCATATATGGTTTGTGTCCGGGAGGTTCCGGATAAGGTTCGGGGTGGTTTTAGACCATTTCGGTGAAGTTTGGGATTGTTGGTGCTGGTACTTTCATTCCTGTTGTGTGGATATTTTGATTTTGAAGTTTGAGCCTTTGTATCTCTATTTTCTCAAAGATGGTAAGGACACGCGCTACTGGATCAGCTGAGTAAACACCCACGCCGCCTACTAGAGTCGCAAGAGGTCGGGGCCGAGGTAGATGCCGAGAAGTGGCATGTGTCGGAGCTAGAGCACCTACCAGAGCAGCAGTTGAGGAGCCGCCAAGAGATCCAGTTGAGGGGTAGGCACCGAAGGCGCCTATTGTTACCCTCAAATTTCAGGAGACTTTAGCGCAGTTCCTGAGCATGTTTGGTACATTGGCTCAAGCGGGATTGATCTCCGTTACACCAGCTACTTCACAGATTGGGGGAGGAGCTCAGACTCCCATGGCCCGTACTCCAAAGTAGCTGGCTCACATTGGTCAGGTTCCAGCTGTGATGCCGGTACAACCTGTTATTCATTTTCAGCCTGAGGTCTGGCCAGGGGCATCAGAAGATGAGCAGAAGAGGCTTGAGAGGTTCAAGAGGTATAGTCTACCTACTTTTAGTGGCACAAATACCGAGGATGCACAAGGATTTCTAGAAGTATCACTACTAGAAATCCGGTATAAACCGACCAAAAAAACAACCAACGTTGGTCGGTAATGGCCAAAAACCGACCAAAACGCGACCATTTACATGTGGACGGTATTTTTGTGGTCGGAAAGGAATATCGACCAAAGTTGGTCGGAAATTACCGACCAACTTTGGTCGGTCAATTAAATTCAAAAAAAA